CCTGACTTAGGGCAGTCAGTTAGGCCATGTGGAGGCAGAAATCAAAGCAATGAGGCCTGTTTCCCAGACCAAGGCCTTCATCTTTTTTGAATAGGTAGTTTGGTTTTTTACTCTGTTTTTAAGATTTTTTTTATATAGGTAGTTTGGTTTTTTACTCTGTTTTTAAGATTTTTTTTATATAATCTGAATATTAAACCTCTGTCAGATGTAGAGCTGGCAAAGCTTCTTTCCCACTGCATGGGTTTCGTCTGTAACCTGGTTGATTGTTTCTTTAGGTGTGCAGAAGCTTTTTAGTTTTATGAGGTCCCACTTGTCAGTCATTGGCCTTAATTCTTTAGCAGATAGAGTCCTATTCAGAAAGTCCTTTCCTCCACCTACACCATGTATGGTATTTCCTGTTTTCCTTCAGCAGTTGCCCTAATTCAGGTTTCACCTGTAGTCCTTTGCTCTATTTGGAGATAATTTTTGTGCAGGGTTATGGATACAGGTTTTCTTGCAGGTGGACATCTAGTTTCCCCAGCACCACTTATTAAAGATGCTTTCTTTTCTCCAGCTTACCTTTTTGACATCTTTGTCAAATATTAAATGGCTGAAATTATATGTGCTCATGTTTGGATCTTGGATTTTGTCTATTTCTGTATCAATACCATATTGTTTGTATTACTATGGCTCTGCAATTGATCTTAAAATCTGGAATAGTGATCCCTCCAGCATTGTTCTTTTTGATCAGGATTGTTTTGGCTATCCCAGGTCTTTTTTGATTCTGTATGAACTATAAAATAGTTATTTCTATTTCTTTGAAAAATGAGATGGAAATTTTTGTTGGGATTTCATTGAATCTTTAAGTAGCTTTAGTAAAAATAGTTATTTTCACAATATTAATTCTACCAATCCATGAGCATGGGATGTTGTTCAATTTTCTAGCGTTTTTCTCTAGCTCTTTCTTCAGAGTAGTTTAAATTTTTAATTGTAGATATCCTTCACTTCCTAGGTGAGATCCATTCACGGGTATTTTATCTTCTTTGAGGCTACTGTAAATAGGAGTGTGGTTTGAATAAGAATGGCCCCTATAGGCTTCTATATTTGAAATTGGTCACTACAGAATGGAACTAGTTAAAGAATTAGGAGGTGTAGCACTGTTGGTAGGAAGGTTGAGGTTTTCAAAGTCCATACCATGCCCAAAAGCTCTTGCACGCCTGCTCTTCCCCTACTTCTGCCTACATAACAGGATGTGCCTTTAATTTCCTTCTCTTTACTTACTGCTCAGTAGGCCTCAACACTACACAAAGAACTATAGGCAACTAAGTAGTGCTTGAGAGTGGGAGAAATAAGTCTTCCCTAGAAAAGAACACACTAACTGGTTATCCAAACTCAAATGGTTAGCCCTGAAAACATTCACATAAGGAACTTATACTGAGTAGGTTGTATTTATAAATATATGTGTATATACATCTACATACATATATGTAACAGCAATTAATGGGGGAAAAAATCCATGAATTTGAAAGAGAGCAAGGAGGGTATCCTGAAGGATGTGGAGTGAGGAAAAGGAAGAGGGAAAAGATGTGATTATATTACAATGTCAAAAATAATAATAATAATAATTTAAAAGAAAACTCATCCAGAGACTCTGAAGAAAACTTAAAGAATGGTCACATATTGGAAGGAAGTGCAGGTAGCAGCATCAGGAGTGAGCACAAACATTAGGAAGAGCAGGCAAGCCCTGGGCTTCACCAGATACAGCACAACCCCGGAACACAGGCAACAGCCTGAGACAGCACTCAGGCAGGCTCCATTTCTAACCCTGGCCAGGCAATACAGCTTGGACAAGAAAGGTTGGGTACAAGGGGCATAAAATGAAGGCTACTAAGAGAGTGGCATGGTGGGTCTCCATTGAAGGACTATGGAAACATATCACAGGAAAAGAGCTGGAGAAATAGGAGGGCTGGCTTGCAGTAGAGATCCTTGAGTGTGAAATGTGCAGGCACTGGATCACAGTAGAGAGCAAGGCCAAGATGTTACAGACAGAAAGAGCACCAGAACAGAGGGCTAAAAAGACCGTAACAAGCATAAAGAACCACGAGAGTGCCATCAGAAAAGAGAGTTCTAAGGAACAAGGAGCTACTATGATAGAAGAAGCAGGAATGGCCTGGTAGTAGAAATGGCAGGACCACAAGAGGTCAGAGTGTTGCAGGATACCTAGCAAACCCCGAGGAGGAAAGAATAGCATGTGGGGAAGAACACAACAGTGCTACACAATGTGCCACCCACCCTCAGAGTAAAGACAAGCTATGACAAGACAGCCACCACACAAAGGGGGTGGGGACATAATGGTGCTGGAGAGAACAGAGAGAAGTGAGGGTGTGAGAATCACAAACAAATTAATTTTCAGATAAGCAGCACATGCAAAAGTTACAGAAGCCAATCAGTTCATGTCAGAGGCAGTCCCTGCTCCCATTACTATGAAACACACCTGGAAACTGAACTGCCATGGGTTACATCTGTGGAGGGGTTCTAGGTCATCTCCATGAATGGTACTTGGTTGGAGTATCAGTCTCAGGAAAGACCCCTGTGCTCAGATTTTTTGGTTGTATTGCTCTCCTTGTGGAGTTCCTGTCCTCTCCAGATCTTACTATTTCTCACTTCTTTCATAAGATTCCCTGCACTCTGCCCAAAGATTGGCCATAAGTCTCAGCATCTGCTTTGATAGTCTCCAGGGCAGAGCCTTTCAGAGGCCCTCTGTGGCAGTCTCCTAACTTGGACCCTGCAGGGACCATTTCTGACATGAACTGATTGGCCTGCTCTTTGATCACCTCCCCCTGAGGGTAGAGCAGCCTTACCAGGCCACAGAGGAAGACAATGCAGCCACTCCTGAACAGACCTAATAGACTAGGATCAGAAGGAAGGAAAAGAAGACCTCCCCTATCAGTGGACTTGGGGAGGGGCATGTGTGGAGAAGGGGGAGGAAGGAAGGATTGGGATGGGAGGAGGGAGGGAGCTACAGGAGGGATACAAAGTGAACAAAGTGTAATGAATAAAAAAAATTAAAAAAGAAGTTACAGAAGCTAAGGAACACAGAAACCCAGCCAGAATAAGACCCTTGGAAATATAGGGTCAGAAGTTTAGACACTGTGAACTCATCTAAGTACACCCTTTGCCTTGAGTCTCCAGGCAGCATGGGAAGGAGGTTATGTGAGGAACAGGAGGGACAGGGTTCTGCCAGGATTACAGGGAATTCAGAACTCTGTGTAGAACTCTGTGGATCACTCCTACTCACTTACATGTTTGGGTACTAAAGCCTTATTTACTTTTATGCTTTACTATTTTTTTTTAATTCTCCATCAATCAACTAGTTTATCATCTTCAGACAGTTCTAATTCATTTGCACCACATCTGATGCAAAACAGGGAGAAGATGGGGAACGGGCTGAGGACAGCACAGCTTCCTTGGGGCATTTTGACAATGTACCAAGCACAGCTTTGCTACCTCATTAAAATGGTTTATGAAAAAGAACAAAACCACTCAAAAGTTTATACAAAAAGCACTGTCAAGTGTCAGAGGACACTGGAGAAGCCACAGTCGGGAATTCCATGTTTCAGCTACACTAATACATTTAAAGAGACATGGGAAGTCCATGCCAGTACAGAGTGCTGGCCACAACACGCCATGCCACGTTCAAGGTGAAACAAGTGTTAGCCTTACAGCAAATTCCTTCTTACCACCCGTCAAGTGTAGAGTCTCTCCAGGGTACTATAAGACTGCTCTGGAGAAAACACATATCCCAAAGCTGCCTGTAATAATCCCCCACAGCCCACACGCTAACGTACCAATAGTAACATGCCACCATCAATTCCCAAAGCAGCATCTTTAGTACATTTTTAGAGTCTTATGTTCTTGCTATTCTATAATTCTTCCCAGAACAAGAGTAAAACATATTTTTGCTTTATAATTTAAAATATAAAATAATTACTACAACAAAATGCATTTAACATTACACCATATTTAATTAAATCCATGAGGAGGGCTTGCCATACTATAGGCCTATTTCTACTCTTTCCTAAAAATAGCAAATCATTGGAGCTGGAGAGATTGCTCAGTGGTTAAGAGCACTGCTTGCTCTTTCGGAAGACCTGGGTTTGATTCTCAGTACCCAAATGACAGTTCCACCTGTAACGCTAGTTCCAAGGGATCCTATGCTCTCTGTCATCCATAGGCACTGCATGTACATGGTGCCCAGACATACACGCAACCACAATACCCATATACATAAGTATTTTTTAAACTTTAAAAGAGCAAATCATAAAATGTTCTTTTCTTCTTGCTTTTTCCTCTTTACAGACATTAACCAATAAACTATAGAAGCTTACAATCCTTAATACGGTCAAATGTCAACTTGGCCCTAGAATCACATATATAATAAACAATTCGGCCCATTAGTTTTCCATCTGAAATAGCCCACAGTGGCCAATCACAGAAACGCATTATTAAGCAGTTTCCTTAAAATCACTTTCAAGGCAGCTTGGCAGCCCAAACAGTTGCAATGGTGCAGGACTAACCTAAGGCTGGAATAAAAATCACCTGAGCCAACAGTGCTCCTGAGGATCTCCTAAGAAAGCCTATTCTTACTTTCAACTCTCAACCTATTCAACCTTCAACAGGAAGGACACAAGTGGGCCAGTCACTGAGGCAGTACAGTGTGCAGACCTTGTAACTACAGATGTCCAAGGAGCTATTGTGGAAGTCTGCTGAGCCCCCGTGGCCACTGGCTCCAAGGGTGCTAGCCCTATGGCCCTCACCCATCTCTCTCTAATTCTCACAACCTCCCTCATCAGGAATGTCCTTTGTTACTTGTAAGCCTCTGAGAGGGCAATATTTCTACTCTTTAATTGTTTATATAATAAACAATTCAGCCTATTAGTTAGAGACAGCCTAACAGTCTGTCTTTGTTAAATTAAACAAGTTTTCTTCCTGGTCTAACTATGTAACACAGACACACATACCATGAAGTCTTCTCTGCAGTGCTTCTTCTTCTAGGGTAATCATATAAATTTGTTCATCCAGGTCTTCAAGAATCTAAATTGAAAGATAAACTACTCAATAATGTACATGACACTTCAGGCTCTGCGGCCTATTGTTTTTAGACCATGCATTGTAGTGACTCAAATAACTAAGACTCCAAAATTAAAATGGCCAAACTATTTAATTTATGGAAATTTTAGTCTATTTTATATACTTTATATACTTTATTTTTAATACATTTATGTTTTTCTATTTTAGTACTAACCAAACACTTCAAAACTCGATATAACAAAATATCTATGAGCATCTAAATTGGGTGTTTTAAGGCTTAAAGGATTACACTTTGTAGCATTCTCAAGGGCTGACAAGTGCATGAATTTTAAACAGCAAATATATCTTTATGCACAAGCTATTACTTCAGAGCTAAGAGGAAAAGATCATTCAGTACAATGTTTGTCTCTAAGCTGGAGACTGGCAAGAAAGCTCAGTGGTTATGCACATTGGCTGCTCTTCCAGAGGGCCTGGGCAAAAGTCAATCCACAACCAGATATGGACTAGCTTCATCTACATGGTAAGTTCCAGGCTAGCCAGAATTACACAATGAGATCCTGTCTCAAAATTTAAAAAAATAAAACAAAACAAAAGCCCTATAAACTATATAGGACACATAGGACATCCCAATTTTTAATTTGATACAGTAAGTACTTCCATGAATATTGGAAGCTGAATCATAAAATCCATCCGAGACAAAGCCCTAGAGAAGTAATATGTTTATATACACACATTCAATAGCATGTCATATAACAGCAGGGGTAAAGCACTCATCAATCACCAACGGATGAGATAGTGTCTTCACTGTCTTCAAAACTAGTAAAACCTAAAACTTCAATTCTGGTTTTGTTAACATAACTGTCCTATGAGAAGATTCTGTCTTCCTGGCTCTGAAGAAGTGTGGAAGCAGCAAAGCTGACAGAAGTGCTCTCTGCCACCCAAGCTTCTGATTCCAGCAAAGCAATCCAAAGGGAAGAGTTGTGAAAGTAAAGTTAAGGATGGGAATAACTGTTTCATTGCACCTGACAAGGTGCTCTACAATCATGTGAAAACATCCATAAAGCAATCCATTGCTTTTCAATCCTTTATAAGTATCTGTAGTCCCCTTCAGCCTGGCACTAAGCTGCCATTGAATAGATGTGCCACCAGATCCACACTGGAACTAATAAAATAATAAAAACAAAATAAATAAGAAAACTGGATAATAAACAATGACACAGAATGACCATCACATAAGCAAAGGAAGGGGAAAGAGACCTCTCCAGAAACCTTACCAAGACTGAGATACTAGAAAGCATGTGGTTTCCTAAGCAGGAGTGGTCTATAATGAGGTCAACTGGATGACCAATGAGAGATTAACCCAAGACTCTTACTCAGTGAGGTGACAGAGACTAGAACTCTCCTCTCTGTCCCATTTCTCATCACTTTCTGCTGTTTGAATTTAAGTTGATCACGTTTCCCTGTTCTTCTTCTTCTCCTCTTACTCCATCAAGACAGGGTTTCTCTGTGAGGCCTTGACTATCCCAGACTCAATCTGTAGACCAGACTGACCTTGAACTCACAGAGATCCGCCTGCCTCTGCCTCCCTGAGTGCTGGGATTACAGGAGTGCACCCCCGGGTTTGGTCTTTTTTTTGCATGTTCTCTCTCTTTCTTTTCTTTTTTGTCCTAAGATCTAACACTTTAAGGATTTTCCTCTTACAGTGTAAACTATTGATAATTCTAACCACAGCTAAATGGTAACAGGAGAATCACAGACATGTGTGTCATGTGCCTCTAAGTATCCCAGCATCTTTACTACTTCATATGCTAAGAAGCAAAGGCTCCACTTCACAAGGAAACTCCAAGCACCTTCAGGGCCTTGGTTCATCACTACTGTGGACTAACAAGGAGCTCAGACATGGGCATCCCATGAGGACTGCAACCAGGTAAGAATTCCACACAGTAAAAGAAATGGCAAAACTGAGGCTTAAATAAAATGTTAGCAAAGGTCAGTGGGAAAAATTACTTCCAGTTGAGGAAAAAGAACACTCAGCCAATGTCTTTGATGACTAGAACACCAGACCTAACTGACAGCCTAAAGGAAGAGGAACAGGCCCTTCCGGCATGGGAAGCCATGTGCAAACACAGAGGTAGAGAGGCAGCAAGTTCATGAGGAGGAACTTAGAGAGGACTAACAGATAGTGGTCTGGAGCCTGGGCTCCAGGTTCAAACTTGCACTTACACACCTCTGTGACCAGCTACTCAGCTTCCCTAGACTGAAACCAGTTTACCTACAAAATGAGACTACCATCACCCAACTCATGGCCTGTCATCAAGATGACATAAAGCTGAGTATTACATACAGCACTTAGAACCAGCATGGGACAGATGCAAAATTACTCAGTAACTAGCATGGTTGCTGGATATCAGGAAAAACAAAGAAAGTAAAAACAACTAGAGGTGCGGAGGTGTTGTTAATAAGACAGCATGGGGAAAGGTGACCCTGAAGTACTTTGGTTTTGTAAGTGAAGAGGGGGAGCTGGCAGTGCTTAGCAGACTATAAGCTTTCTTATCTGAATGAGAGCATGTAACTGAATAAGAACTGAGAGAATATAATTTCAAAAACAAGAGTTTACTGAAAGATCATCTATCTTAATATTGCCTCAGTATTGTTCCCTTAATGAAATCACCACAAAAGGAGGACAGACACATGGCCAAATGGCTCAGCAGGTAACCCTGGTCAGGTACAAGTCACTAACACCAGTAAATATGGAGAAAGAATGCAGTGCAATGGTGACCACAGTGATGTGTGAACTTCCTTCCAGGAGACCACCGGGCACTGTTGCAGGCATGAAGTACTGCAGACAAAGCAAGCCAGAAACAGACAGCACAGAGCCCTGTGGCCCGCAGCAAGGCAGCGTCAAACTGCTATGGCAGTCTGTGAAGAAGCAGAGGGGAGCAGCATATGACACAGAGAAAACCCTGAACATGTAGATGGCTAAGACTCAAGTTTGCAGGAGGTGAGAATCCAAGGATGGAGCTTAAATGACAGGTTTCCTAGGAATACCTAAGAAGTTATTATCTTTAAAAATTGACAAAGAACACAAAAGGGGAACAGATCATGATATCACTACCCACTAAAAGTCATTTTAAGATAAATATATGATATTTCTGAGAGGTAAAATATAATTCAAGATACAGTGTATATATTTTCAGAAACTGGTTTGTAAATCAAAGCACCGAAATTATCAGTATTGGTTTTGTCTCTGTGTTGTGTTTGTTTGAGGGCTTTGTTTGGTTTATTTGTTTTAGCTGTACACAACTCTCAACTCTGTGGCCCAAATAGACTTGAGCTCACAATCCCTAGGCCTCTCACACCCTAGAGTCGAAGGCATCCACACTCTGACAGCTATGTAATCGATTTTGAAACAGATAAAATTACTGTTGGATGCAGGGCAACGAACACACAAAATACTTACAGATACCTGTGAAGTTTGCCTTGAAATTTTCTATACAAACTTTTACTTAAGTGCATATAGTTAGTACTTTAAAAAGAAAAAACAGATTTTGTTTCCAAAGATTAAAAGATTGTTTAAAAATTAAAAACATGAATTATAAACCAACAAAAATATTGTCCTTAATTTTTAAGTCTTCATTACATAATCAAATATGAAAATACAAGTATTTAGCAAACACAAATAAAATACTTACCGCTGGCTTCACCAGCAACTGACCCACCACTGTGAACATACGCGAAAGGCCAACTGGGGTACATACTGCAGAAATAAAATCACTGGTGAGAAAAGAGGTCCTCACCACTCAGAGACAGGCTACCAGTAAGCAGGGAAATCAACCTAAGCGCAAGGTAGTAGAGTTGCAACCCCAGCTTTGCTTCTCCAGCTGCTCAGAAGGTCCTTCACCTCCCCAGTGAAGACAAAGGCATTGTGAGGAGGCCAGGCACACCACATGAAATGGGAAAATGAAAGAAGGCTACAATAGTCAAGATCCTAAAGGATAAACACTCTTGTTTAAAACAAATAGACCCTGGAAAAGGACACACAACATTTCATCTGTTGGAACAATGAGCCAGAAAAGAGTATCTAAAAGTGACAACTAGTTACAAGCCCTTTGAACTATATTTGACAACTTACACTCTCCCTGAGATACAGCGTGATATCTTCAGGAAAACCAAACAATTCTGAAATAAAAACTATAAATTCATCAAACAGAATTTTCTTCTTTCCCAGTGTTATACCTGGGCTAGCGGTAGCTGGAAAGAATGTGTACATGGGGTGGAAGTGCCTGGGGTACATGTTAAAAGTTTTGTGAGCAAGGCTGTGCTGGCGCGCACCTTTAATCCCAGCACTCAGGGAGGCAAGAGGCAGGAAGATCTCTGAGTTCAAGGCCAGCCTGTATTACAAAGTGAGTCAGGACAGCCATGGCCACACAGAGAAGCTCTGTCTCGAAGAAGAAAAAAAAAAGCTTTGTGGTACATGATGTGTACGTGCACACGTGTCTTTAACCCAGTGCAAAAGGCTTTCCTCGGTGAGCAAAAGCACCCAGTCAGTCAAAGTTCTGCTTGTTAAAATTTATCTGGAATAATAATTTTTTTAAAAGTTAGCGTCAACTCAAAAACAGTCTCCATTATTAAGGAATTTCATCAGAAAATTTTCAGGGGACAAGACAACTTCACTGTCAGCATCATATTGAAGAATACTTACAGAGAAGCAGCAAACACCCCATCAGTGAAATGCAGGAGTATAAATAGGGCAAGTAGAACTCCCAGAGATCTGTGAAGACATCAAAGCATTCAGTAAGTGTAAGTGAAGCACATTAAAATAGTCTACATTCTACTTAATAAGCAGTAATATGATAAACATTTTAACTGCCTATTTGACTATATTAAACAGTCTAATTTCTAAATTACAGAATAAAAAGATCTAAAGTAAAAAAAAATTCTTAATTCTTTTGAAAAATCTGTTTCAAAAGGAGATAATGTTTCATGGAATTTTAAGAACAGAAACCAATTAATAATAAAATATATGGAAAACTTCTTAGTCTTCTGAAAAAAATGAATATTCATTGCTTTGCTTGAGTATCTCTAAAGATATCTAAATTATGTAAATTAACAGAGTTAAGCACAAAAATAAATACTTAAGTTTTTTAATTCTGCCAGGTATGGTGGCACACGCCTCAATCCTAGTACTCTGGATGAAGAGGCAGGCAGATTTCTTGTGAGTTTGAGACCAGCCTTGTTTATAAAACAAGTTCCATGACAGACAAGGCTGTTACACAGAGAAATTTTATCTCAAAAAACAAACAAACAAAAAAAAAGGTATACAATTGTATCCCAAATAAGGGCCATGATAGAAACTAGCTAAAACAACAATCAGGTACCATATAGAGACTCCATACTGGCAGCATCACTGTCAATCAGGGCGGATGCCACCCACACTATCCCAAGAATCAGCAATGCAAGCAGCAGCAGCATGACCAGAGTTTCCAAAACGCGGGCTCGGATTCCCTTAAAACACAACAGCAAAGCATTTTAATACTTTTATAGCATCTCATGAGCAATAAAAGCATAAAACCATCCTTTGGGAGGGTATAAACTGAATAAGTTTATATTATGTTTTTAAATAAATAGAGAAAGCCCTAAATGTTTATGGTTTGTGTTTAGAGTGACTTTTCAAAATTATATTTTTTAGTATTTTTAAATTTATATTTATTTTATGTTCATTTGTGTTTTGCCTGCATGTATGTCTGTGTGAGGTTTTCAGAAGCCCTGGTACTGAAATTACAGTCAGGTGTGAGCAGCCATGTGGGTGCTGGAATTGAACCAGGGTCCTCTGGAACAGCCAGTGCTTTTTTTTTTTTTACTGAGCCATCTCTCCAGCCCCTCAAAGTTATATTTTTAAAAAATATTAAACTTGGAATAAAACACAACAAAATTAATCACTCCAGCATTTTGCATCAACATTTTTATTATTTTCTAGTACTTCCCAGTACGTTTGTGGATTTACATCTGTGCTTCTAAGTAAGGATTGCCAGGCTGACACACATTGGGGACACTGGGCTAGAGCACTGACATCCTCCACCAGATCAGGAAGGGCACCTAGCAGCCTCTGGAGTCCTCTAGTGGCCAACTGGAGAACTGCCTGCTGGACAGCAACACCAAGAACACAGACAGTACACCACATATATTGCATTCGTTTTTCATATAAAATGGAAATTCTTCTAGTTTATGAGGCTTGACTACAATAAGGAAGAATTATGCATATTTTAAAAGTAAAACCGTTTTAGTTTTAAAATTCAGACTGAAAGACCAGACTTGTCAACTTGGAAACTGCTAGACAACGCTAGAAAACCTCTTACTCCTAAAGTCACCAAATGATTGTTTCTGTTACAAGTTCAAAGATTTACACATCCCTGTTTTATGCCTCTAACTTCTAGCAGCAAACTGTAAGTATGCCTATTTCTCAGGAATCGTGCATTTGTCTATTTCATACTGAGAATGGTTTAAAGATCTAAGTTTCAAAGACCCAAAAACATCTCAATTTGCCTGATCTTTGCTAACACTGACATCACATCTCCACAATTCTGAACACATGACACTGAAGTAATGCCTCAGCTCAGTGTGCTGATATCAGGGGTAAAGTGTTTTTGTTTCCTACCTATCCTTCAAAAGTGCCACAGTCCTATGCAGGCTTTAAATACTTGCTAAGATGTGTCAGTTCACTCAAAGGATATATGGTAAGTTCAAGGCCAACCTGAGTTACATAATGAGATTCTGTATCAAGAAAATTGATTATAACATCGGCCCCACCTACAACCAAAATACTGCTTGCAATTGATACACTCTGGCAAAGAGGAAATTCATTTTCTCCAATGAAGTCTCACCAGATATATCAACCATACTTCAGGGAAGGCCCCATGCCTAGGAGTAGTTGGCTAACACAAAACAGACTCAATAGTATTTTTATGGGCTTTTGGTTTCATTTTGATTTGTTTGGGCATTTTTGGCTTTGCTTGTTTGTTTTGACTTTCATTTTTGTGTTTTCGTGGACAGTTTTGTTTCTTGGTTTTTCTGGATTTTGTTTCTTGTGGGGTTTTTGTTTGTTGTTTTGTTTGAAAGATAGGGAAAACAAACATAAAGCAGTATAGGTAGAGATGTAGAAAGGATCTGGGTGGAACTGGTGAAGCAAGAAAATATCAAAATATATTGTATTTTTTTTCATAATAAAGAAATAAAATATTTATTTATTTATTCATCTATTTATTTATTTATTTATTTATTTATTTATTTATTTATTTATTTATTTATTGCAATGCTAAAAGGTTGAACTAATGGCCTCATGCATAGGGCCTCACACATGCTGGGCAATCACTCACCACGGAGCTAGGGTAAGTATTTTTAAAACTTCCAAATAAACAGACACTCCATGCTAACTTTATTTCAAAAAACAAACTACGAAGAGCCTTATGAACAAATGTTTCACATTTTGACAGATAATCTTCATTTCCTGTCCCCTCCAATCCTTCCAGAAATCTGTTCTTACCTAGACTCTGAGGAGACCCACAGTATGATATGGTAGCAGGACTGTGTGAAGTCCTTGTCCTTGACTTCCACCAGACTGCTCAAATACTCCCCATCAGGGGGTTAGTCTTGCTTGTTCATCCTAAGGAAGTGTTCAGAAGCACGAAAAAACTCTGCTGCACCCTGAACTGGGCCTGCATTGTGCCTAGACAATCTGTACACTGAGCGCTGACTACCTATAGTTATCCCACGGGGTCTGATAAATGTTTCATCCTCTTCCTCCTCACAGCTACAACTGACACCACCTCTTCCTGCGTGGCCTCTGACTCCCTCAGTTGCTCTTCTACACCTCAATTTCTGTCCATTTTTATTCCTTTAAATCCCACAGCTCAATTTCACACTGCCAATCTTCTCACAGTCTCTGTGAGAGCTTCTGAAATATAAATACACATCAAGATTACCAAGGGGCCACAAGGTGCCAGCATTATCCCCAAAGTGGCTGTTCCCCTGCAACTTGAGGACAGCGGCTCAGCTAGCAAAATGCTCAGTTCTCTTTAAATCTACCAGACCTTGTCACATAGCCAACAACACTAAAAGGAACACTGTAAGCTAGATAATCCTACTATGGCCAAGATCCATAAACCCTTCGGTATCATCACAAAGGTGCCCTAAGCTTTATTCTAAAATCATAGTTTCATTTGCTTTATCAGGTCTTTTTTTTCAGTAGCTTGGACTTCAATAAACGGCATCATTATCTATTTGCTGTTTAAGTCAACACCTGGAAATATCAATGTCACAGCCTTTCCTACCAGGTCCTGCAGCCACAAACAAGTGACATGATTCTAACCAAAGAAACCCCAAAGTCTCCATCATAAAACTCCTAGAGCTAGTAAACACTTTTAGCAAAGTGCCATGGTACAAAATTAACATAAAGCCACACCAATAGCTTTCCTATACACCAATGACAGACTGAGAAAGAAACCAAAAAGACAATCCCATTCACAATAGCATCAAAAAATTCACCTAACCAAGGAATTCAAAGACCTATACAGTGAAAATTTTAAAACACTGAAGAAAGAAACTAAGACACCAGAAAATTTTTTTTTAATTCCCTGAACCTGGTAGAATTAATATCATGAAAATAGCCATCCTACCAAAAACATCTACAGATTCAATGCAATCCCAATCATATTTCCAGTGCAAATATTTCATAGACATTGAAAAAACGACCTTAAAATTCATACAGAAACAATAGCCAAAACAATCTTGAATAATAAAAACAATGCTGGCTGATCTCAAGTTATACTGTAGAGCCACCACAATGTAAACTTGTACAACCACTTTGGAAATCAATATGGCGCTTTCTCAGACAATTAGGAATAGCGCTACCTCAAGATCCAGCTACACCACTCCTAAGCATATATCCAAAAGATGCTCAAGTATACAACAAGGACATTTGCTCAACCATGTTCATAGCAGCTTTATTTGTAAGGACCAGAACCTGGCAACAACCCAGATGTTCCTAAATTGAGGAATGGATACAGAAATTGTGGTACGTTTACACAATGGAATACTATGCAGCAATTAAAAACAAGGAAATCATGAAATTTTCAGTCCAATGGTGAGAACTAGAAAAGATCCTCCTGTGTGAGATATCTCAGAAGCAGAAAGACACACATGATATATACTCACTTATAAGTAGATATTAGATATATAATATAGGATAATCATACTAAAATCTGTACACCTAAAGAAGCTAAGCAAGAAAGAGGACCCTGGATAAGATGATCAATCCTCATTCAGAAAAGCAAATGGGATAGACATCGTAAGAGGGAGAAAACAGGGAACAAGACAGGAGCCTACCACAGAGGGCCTCTGAAAGACTCCACCCAGCAAGGTATCAAAGCAGATGCTGAGACTCATAACCAAACTTTGAGCAGAGTTCATGGAATCTTATGAAAGAAGGAAGAGATAGAAAGACCTAGAGGGAACAGGAGCTCCACAAGGAGAGCAACAGAACCAAAAATCTGGGCACAGGGGTCTTTTCTGAGACTGATACTCCAACCAAGGACCATTCATGGAGATAACCTAGAACCCCTGCACAGATGTAGCCCATGGCAGCTCAGTGTCCAAGTGAGTACCCTAATAAGGGGAACAGGGGCTGTGTCTGACATGAACTCAGTGGGTGGCTCTTTGAGCACCTCCCCCTGAGGGGATGGGAGTGGGGGCAGCCTTACCAGGCCACAGAGGAAGACAATGCAGTCAGTCCTGATAGGCTAGGGTCAGATGGAAGGAGAGGAGGACTTCTCCTATCAGTGGACTGTGGGAGGGGCATGGGAGGAGAAAAGGGAGGGGACAAGGAAGGAGATGAGGGAGGAGGCTACAGCTATACAAAGTGAATAAACTGTAATAAATTTTTAAAAATAAATTTAAAAAAACAGATGCAATGGAAGCTAAAATAGAAACAGAACCACAGAAAATCTAAGAGGGAAAAAAAAAAACAAGCTAGAGTTGGTATAAAATGAAACCCAATTTCTCTCGCACAAAACATTACGAAATAATGTCCCAAAATGGGCATATTAAAGAACAGTATGAGCTAAGTAGTTCCAAAATGGTCTCTGAGCTGAAGAGGTCAAAGCTATTATCTCCATGGAGCTCGACAATGCATGGGAGAAGTGGGTTGGCAGACAGTGAGTTAATACTTCTCAGCGTTTTATTTCTTTGGTCATGTTAGCTCTTTGTATTGAGCTCCCTGGGTTTGACATTAAGGCAGAATATAACCTTATCAAGAATAAAACAGAATGCAAGGATATGTGGGGGGAAAAAAAAACACTTAAGGAACAATCTAGTTCATTAGTGTTCTTCCTGTGTATTTTACCAAGCATACAAAAATATCTACCCATGGAATCATCTGTTTGTGTCTATACCATACAGTCAGTTTTGCCTGACAAGCCCAGTGTTAGATCTTCTATCTAATGAAATTACAC